AAAAAAAAAACATTTCTTCGGATTTAAGGCATCATCAAATTTCAGGCGAGATTTATGTTCAAATGAAATCGAAACACAAGAGAGGAGACGAATAGAGAAAAAATACGATAACATCGAGAAAATTGGATCAATTATTCTTTCCTTTTTTTCTCGGAAATAAATAATTCTCTGTGAAACATTTCGACGAATGTTGAACGTATAAATGACGCACCGTGAGGGAGAGAGAGAGAGAGAGAGAGAGAGAAGGCTTAGCTAATGAAAATTCGACACCAGTCGACGCGACGATATCATATGATTTGAAAGTTGAAGGAACAAAAACAACTTTGGGATACCCACGCTCTCTTCGAGTACATGCCACGCTTATCTGGCTCAGACACAAAATAACAATGTTATTAATTGACATAAGATTTCAACGAAATTTTGAATCACATTGTCTTCTTTCGACGATTATTTATTTACACCTAATTACCATGCATCATTTCGACTATCAACAACACTAATGACACATGAAACAACCAAATTATAGAGTAATTCTCTAACTTTGACGCCCTCTCGAACGTTCAACACTTTTTTTTTGCATAATGATTCAATTTAGATTGTAACCGTTTCATTTGTTCATAATTATGTGACTTTTATGACACCTGACATTCACATTTTGAAGTTTCATTATCAAGTCAATGATTCCACATCGGTCACTAACTTAGCGCCATTCATGTTGGATGTCCGTGGGCTGATTTTATTGATTTATAAGTGTTTTATGTACGAAATTGATCAGAAACAAAAAAAAATTCACACCTTAAACGATATACTAACGTATTTGATTGCATTGGCCAGAAGAATCTCAAGTACCGGTGTAGAAGAAAAACACGAATTTCCAAATGGTTCTCCAATATCAATAAACAGGACACACCTGATCTGAATTCAGTGTATTTTTTATCGCAAATTCATTGAAACTCGTGACTGGAATTGAAGTCCAATATCGATTTATTATTATATGATTTTTGGCAAACAACTAGGCCCACTAACCAAATCATGTTTATAACTGAAGCATGTTTATAATTCCTAATGGCTACTACCCAATAAAATTACCACCTATACAGCACCCAAGACTTTTAATTTATTGAAAAAAGTGATTTTTTGTTTCAACATTTGCACTTTTTCCGTCAACTTTGCACTCAAAACTACAAAAACCAAACAAAGTTCTGGGGAAACTATAGTTTACTATACTATAGTATACGATTGAAAACACTAGATATGTAGATGTTGTTTTATATAAGATATCTTGAAAATGTTAGATATTGATGTATTCATCAGGTAAGTCAAACTAAATAAAGATAAAATATGGAATAAAGGATTGGATTACCCAATTTGGATTCTTCAACCATATAGTACCAATGCATAGCAATTTAAACTCGAAAATAAGCCAAAAAGTGTCATTGCCTTTTTCCTGGAAATTGGAATTGTCATTATTATCGAAGCATTTGTCGGGTGGTATGAAGAGGAAGCTTTCCGTTGCTCTTGCTTTCTGCGGCCGATCGAAAGTGGTTTTTTGTGATGAACTAACTAGTGGTCTAGATCCGGCGGCTCGGCGTGCTCTCTGGGATCTATTACAGAACGAGAAAAAAAGTCAAACCATTTTGCTGACAACACACTTTCTGGATGAGGCCGATGTTCTTGCCGATCGAACCGCGATAATGGCAAATGGTGAACTCAAATGCCATGATACACACAATTATTGTCAACAAAAAGGACGCAAGTGATTGAGGTATTCTTTGAGTGTGAAATGAATATTTCACAATTGTGTCAAAATCCACAGTAATATCTTGAGGCACAGTGTGGGAAGCATTGAGCATGTGTCGAAATCAGCAATTCAATGGCTGTCAACCGACGTCAATAGCCTTTAAAGCCCATTTAAATTCAATGGTGCTGCTGAACTCAAGCCACTGATTCATTTTCAAATTAAAAATGGCGAAAAATCATAAACAGAAACGCTTCTTTGAATCGATGAATCCATTTAAAAGTGAATAAATTCTCGTTCACGAGAAAATGTCATGAACTTAAACGCAATCAAACCGCAAAGTCACCTTAAACCCATATACTCCTGCAGTAACAAGAGTTGACATTAATCTGCATATTCTTAGCAAAAAAAAAATGATTTTGCCTGAAATAGAAGCACACATTATTTCACCAAAATGTTAAATGCAAAGTCAATTTGATGCGCAACAAACGAGTTTATTTTGCTTCTCGCAAACCCGATCGATGGGCCTGATACCATTTATTACAACCTACAACTACGTCAAAATATGTGTTTTGATTTCATGTGAATCAAGTCCAAAGACATCTCAAAAGACAAAAGCAAAACTAATATCATTTAAATAAAATATTTAGAGAGTTGCAATAATAAAATTATCAATGCCTAAGTATCAACAAATATTCTTGTGTATTCTTCGTTTGTCGGGGAAACCGTCATCCAAAAAGATAGATTGTGATATTTTTATCTCTTAATGTGTCATTAAATTGGGGCTTTCGTCATTCAATCATTCAAGGGGTTCCCTTTTGGTGAATCAGAAAACATTCGCAACAAAAAAACATGAAATAACAAGTATATTTGGAACGGATGCATACACAAAATACAAAGTGTCCATGGATAGAGATAAAAAGGCGTAAATTTGCCCAGACGAATCAGTTCAAAGCTTAATTCCATTTCGAGGTAAGCTGATTTCATTAAAACAAAGTGAAGATCTGTTGATAAGTTCTCAATTCAAACGTTTCGAACCGGAGATTCAACTCATTTTGTCGTCTAACCATTGAGGAGCCAAACGGATGAATGGCCGTGGTCCAAATTCATGATTCATGTCCACATCCCAAGTTGAATACCATCTTTGGTAAATAGCTGTGCGGCTTTATTGCACCCGGCCACAGTAATGAATTCACCATCCGGAAAGTAGTTGAGCACCGATTGGATCGAAACCAAGCGCACGCTGCCCTTTGCCAACACTTTGACCGCCAAGCGTATAGAATGGAATCGTTTGACTCCAATCGGCAATGCACAAAATATCTGTATTTCCAGCACTGATCGGATCTAGGGCGAGGCCATATATTGGGCTGTTGTTGCCACCAGGACGCTCGATTTTCCCCTTCTCATTGCTAGCCTAAAAGAGAGTCAAATACTCGTTATAAAACTTAACATAATTTTTATTGCATGATTTCATCTCACCTTATTTCGAATGGAAACAGTCCCATTTGCCATGCCCAAAGCCAAATACTGGCCATCGTTCGTCCAGGCACAGCAATTTATCCGAGATGAAACCTTAAACTTTTGCACCGCTTTCTGTTTGGCCGACCAGAATGCGAAATCTGCCTGAGTTCACGACACCAATTGATGTGACACCGGGTTAAAGGCCAAGCATTGAATTGAGTCGCTATGACTAAAATAAACAGAACACTCAATATAATTTCCATTGAAATCATCTTTTGCATTTCATAGAACTTACGAGTATTTGAGTATGCCATCGAGTTTGTTTGACCAAACGATGACACATTTATCGGAACCGCCGGACACAAATTTTTTGCCATCGTATGCATATGCTATCGCGTAAACGGTGTCCTTGTATCCGGTCAGCGTTTCGATAAGTGCCTTCATTTGGTTCATACTCTAAAACTTTGTCACAAGCGCCAACGATAAGTTGAATACCCTCCGGATGAAAGCAAATCGAGTGAATCCTACAATGATATCACAATCACATGGTAATTAGAAGAAACAAATGCACATGTTTACTGCGATGGGAAGAGATGCATCTTTTATGGTGTCACACGCAAAATTCCACAGTTCAATAGACTCACCCGGCTTGCTCTTTATCCTCATTCTCCTCGTGGATCTTTTCAACCCACGATATCTCTGGCTTTAGATATCAAAATCGTATGGTCACACAACTTGTAGCATCGTCCATGTTTCTTGAAGGCAAATGATCGAATAGCTATTTTCGAAATGGACAATCGTCGTTTCTAGAGATTCGACGGAGCTATTGTTTACATTGAAATACGGTTGAAAAGTTGCTATAGTAACATGACTGGCCTACTACGCATTCCATTAATACGCTCTCATTAGGAAAAAGACAAGTTGGAAAAAGACGAGAGAAAAAACCACGTACACTGGACCAATTCACACAATCGAACACACAAGTGATAATTGTATGTGCGCTGTGTGTGTGTGTGTGTGTATGTTGCTGTAATGCGGGCCCGTTTAGACAAATACAAGCATCGCATCAAGAAACCGCTTACACCGATACATTCGCATACATAACCAATATGTACCGGACCTCATTGTCGCATCGAACATCATTTTACACGCAGCGACGTTAGTAAGCTTCCCGTATTCTTTCAAGGAACATGTTTTGCTGTTTTAATACTTAGCGCTACCATTTTTTTTTTTTTCATACAATTTTTTTGCTCCGAAAAAAAAGTCAAAATTGTTTTCTAGATACATACACACACAATATAATTTGCTTCTTTGGTAAGTTCCTAATAAACAAAACCAATAAAACACTTCGTTTCTCGTTGTAAAGACCAAAAAAAACGAATAGATACCGAATTTTGGTCGATTTTGTTTATAGTTGTCGTCCATTGAATAAATCGAATACTTCATGACTTTTAACCGGAATTTTGAACGGAATTTTAATTTAACATTTTATATCGTTCATGAGAGAAAATGGAGAGACATTTTTACCACGAATACCATATGTAAACATTGAAAATATATCATTGCGAGAAAAGAGAGAATAGTGTGTTGAGGAGCCATACTTTTGAAGTTTTATAGTATTATACATCATTTTTTTTTAATTCGTTCATCCATTATTTTATATTTGGGCTTGTGTGCATGTTTTTTGTGTGCGAAGTGCGAAATAAAAATAGTTCGAGAGGAAATGTTTGATGAATGGAAATTCTTTTTGGTTTCTTCTTATCCATCTGTTTCATTGCAATATACGCATTTTTTCCTCTCTCATTTTGAATTGATTATTTTTTTTCCGACACGAGATAAAATTCATAGATAATTTTATTATTGATATTCTCCCATGGGAGTTCTTTGAATCTTTCTATATGAACTTAAAGTGCTGCATCCATATAATACGAATGCATTTCGTTCGAAATGGAATTGATTTATATCGCTGAAATCTGATTGCTGGAGAGCAGAGATTTGGGATGAAAAGTGGGCCGTTTATAATAAATACAGTCAGATAAATTGCTGATGTCATTTGTTAGCCGTCTGCATGTAGTCCAACAACATGCAGAATTTGAAAAAAATTGGTAAAATATGTAGAATCTTCGGAATGATTCCAAAATGCTCAGACTCAGCTATTACAAAAGTAATGATATCAATCGTTCGAATTCCGAGCAGTTTTTCCGATTAAATATGAAATCGTTTCATATGAAAGAGAAATATTTTCGGCCGTGTTAAACTGTTATCGTCTCAAGATGAGCGTCTTCAACTGTCTTCTTTATTGTTATTGCTGTTATTACTATAGGTATGTATGCCTATGTATTCACCTCGTTCATGTAACACCCGATATTGATTACGTGCCAATAAAAACAAAATCAACATTTTGTCACTATCTTTGTGTGTTCGTTACTCATATCTCATGCATAAAGTCGCTTCGCACGGAACGAACAAAGTTCAACACAACTTGTTCAAGTGATTTCTTTTGAATTATATCAAAACATTGAATTGAACATTCTAAAAATGCATGATTAAAGTAACTACAGTATATCAAATCAAAAATATTCATTTGCTTGTTTTTTTTGTCAATCATTTCGTTTAAACGCATCACTCGTAATAGATGTTAGCGTCGGTCTGCCATCGAACTCGTAGTATGGTGTATTTAAAAATCAAATAAAAATAAAACGTTTTGGTATAAATATCGTTTACTGTTTTTTTTCCACATTTTTGTTTCATTCTTAAAGTCTAAAAATCTGATCTTCATTTATACATTGAAAAAAAATTAAACAAAAATTATAACTCGTGCGTTCAACTTGATGTTCTGCTGGTGCTATTTTCGTGTCAAAGCATATAATGGTCTCTTTTTTGAGAATTAATTTCGATCTTGTTCTTGTTTCTTTTTTCAGCTCGAAATTATGCTTGGAAGTAATTTAAAGTGTTAACTTTCGAAAAAAAAAGAGTTTCAATCGAAAAAGAGAAAGGGAAAAAAAATGAAAATTGTTCTAACCAAATAAACCTAACATACTAAAATCTTATGGGCTAACGAGATGTTGTGGTTTTGCTTTTCATTGCGTCGAGTGGTCCAATTCAGCCGTTCACGCGCTTCACTTGTTTACCGTTGTGTCTGTTATATGATCAGCAGTTTCAGCGCGTGAATGACGATCCCACATCCGAAGGAATAGACCTTCCAAACCATTTGCGTATTCTTTACAATCGAACAATGGGCTTTCGGCTCGGGCTTTCCACACTTTGTGGCGCATACTGCGCAAGTATTCACGATCGTTTCCTAACCGAATGGCAACTTGCTCGTACTCTTGGCGACTTCGAGCAATCAATTCGGGGCATCCGAGTGTGTTCAATTGTGATGCAGCGACTCTGTTTAACGGTAAAACACACAAAATTCGAATGAAAATTTGAAATAGAAAAAGAGAGGGGAAACAACTGTGGAATATACCGTGAGGCGAGTGTTTCTCCAGGCAATGTAACTACTGGAGTTCCGGTCCATAAAACATCCATTGATGTTGTGTGACCGTTGCATAATGGGGTGTCCAAACAAACATCTGCCAATTGACCACGACGGACATGCTCCTCCTTTGCAGCAACATTTGAAAAGATGATACGACCACCGGGTAGTCCTGCAAGCAAATTAACCGAAACGATAACATTACTCATTCTTATGAACGGACTGCGTAAATAGTGCTGTGTTATTAATAGCGATTTTACGTACCCAAATTCTGTGCGGTCTGTTGAAGATTTGGTTCGCCGACGGCGGGGAAACGAAGCAACCATAAAACGGAGTTTGGAACATTTTTCAAGATTGTCACCCACGATTCCAAAGTGAGCGGATCGATTTTATACAATTGATTGAAGTTACAGTAAACGATTGCATTGTCTGGCAAACCGTATTGTTGTCGGGTGGTTATCACAATATTCTGTGGGACTTCTTCACCGGTGGCGGCTTTGTTGTTGATTTGTGTGGTGGTCAAACCATTTTGTAGGACGACACCATTGACCGATGTTTGAATTTGATGGTTTGCAATCATTGTTTCGATTGGTGTCGTTGTTGGCAATTCAGCGATTTTCATCGACACTTCAACTGTTTTTTGTGAAATGATAACTTCACGAATCTCTTTAACGTCTGTGCTTTCAACAAGTGGCGACAGATCGGTTGCATTGATAACGGCTACATTGTCCGCAAGATTTCCATTACCACTTTTATCGCTGACAATGAGTCGCTCTTTCAGATGTGGGAACATTTGCTTGTGATCTCCGATGAAGTATGTGTACGGCATGTATGCCAATTTTTCACTGTATTGGTCCTGGGAAAATACAACGAGAGACGATTAAAAAAACAGTTAAAACTTGAATTGACCATCGAAATTTCTATATCAAGTCAATGTATGGTGTTTACCTGTAATTCAAGTGGAGATGTGATTGCATCAGTTATGATGTAGTCCATGTAGCTGGCTCCGCTAGTGCCAGGATAACCAAGCCACATGACTTGAATTGGTGCTGGTCGCAGTGCGAATATCTCATTACGAGCACCCTTTGTGTAGCCATTCATATTAACGAGCACGTGGATTCCATCAGCATAGATGCGATCGGCCGCTTTGCCATTGCATGGAACCTGTGACAAATCAATGAAATGCTCCGCTTCATTGGCGATTTTATTGCGGAACGCCGTTCCATCATCAACGCTAAGTGCATAGCAAAAGATTTCGAAGCGGCTTCGATCATGCATGCCGGGAACGCTTTGCATCAAATGTGACGTGGGATGATTTCCAAAATCGCTGCTCACATAACCAATGCGAATTCGATTTGAGCCCAATTCACGGCCAAATTTATACGATGGCTTATGCAGTATGTGTATTTTTTCCAAACACAGATTAGCATGACGTGCCGCAATTGCTTTACGGAAATCATGACTCAATGGATACAGCATTGAATGATGTGGATGCACCGAGGGCAAACGATTCTTTTCAAGTTGTTCGGCAACAATAGCGACCAATTTCTTCATGCGACTATCATAGTCGGACCAATCGCACACGATCTGCAAACAATGCGCCAAATTACAGTATGCATCTGGGAAATCGGGTTTCAATTTCAACGCTGTCCGATATGATTGTATGGCTTCGGGTATATTGCCAGAATCCTTGTGGATGCTGGCTAAATTGCTGTGTGCATCAGCAAAAGCTGGATTGATCTGAATTGCTCGTGTGTAGCATTGTAATGCGCCGGTAACGTCTTGCATCTCTTTCAGTGTGTTACCCATGTTTGAGTATGCATCGGCAAACGATGGCTGAATGCGAATCGCTTCTTTGTAATGCATAAGTGCTTCATTCAATTTGCCTTGTTGTTGCAACACCGATGCCAAATTCGAGTGTGCGGCCGCAAATTCGGGGAACACTTCCAATGCCTTCAAATATAGACGGGTGGCTTCTTCGATGAATCCTTGTTCGCGCTTGATATTTGCCAAATTGTTCAACGAATCCGCATGTGTTGGGCACAATCGAAGGGCTGTGTTATAACATTCTTCGGCTTCTTGGACCTATAATAAAAACAAGACAAAAAAAAGAGCGGAAAAACCAGAATGAAAATAGTTCGTTGAGGGGTTTGCTAAAAAGTCATTCGATATTCGTAAATTGGTTTTATTACTAGAGAGATAATAAGATAAATATACAGTCAAACGAGGTTGGCGTCCGATAACCCATATTTACGACCATCCAACCGCACCTCCTCCGCACCGCCTCCGCCAGCTCAGCTACGCCGGCTATTTATTGTCTTTTTAATTTGCGGAGGAGTTTTCACATTTATTCTATGTGATGTTAAACTTTGCTCCCTACCCCTCTCAATTTCTATTTCGCTGACATTTCTCATTTTCTCAGTTAACAAATTAAAAAGCACAGCGTTCGCGAGTTTCAATGGCTTGAGCTTTGCGAAGCGGGTGATGAGCGCAACACTCTAACTGTCTCTTTGTCAAGCGCAGGCGCTCCACATTACCGATGAGGATTATGCACACACACACGCACAGCACACAATGTGTTCCTCTCGCATAACTATGTGAACGTGCCAAGGGACACATTGCTCGTTCGTATAATGATCCGTTCTGTGGTTTAGATACACGGTCTCCGTTTGATGTTTACAGCGTTAAAACGGAACGAAAGCATCAAAAGCGCAGCGCGCTTACAATGTTTGACGTACATGTTTAGCATCAACAAAAATTATTTACCATCGAAAATTTCTATCGCAACGAAAAATCTAGTGTATTCGGCTTTCATATCATATAACCAATATTGATTGGATTTAAAGTTTTTATACTTTTCTTTTGTGTACAATGCCGCCGTGGCGTTTCGTTTCGTTTTTTTCGGTACAACTGGAACGCAATTCAAAGCTCTTTGAACTCAGTAAGTATAGTTGCGCCAGTCGGTCGTACTTTTTCTCTGTTCACTCTCTCTGTGTCGCGCGAGGTAATGGGAACGAGCTCACAACAACCCCACACTGACAGAAAAGCAAAAAAAGTTCCGAGGCAATAAAAATGCTGGTTTCAACCTTATTATTTAAGCAAGTTGAAATGAAACTCATGTTTTGGATACCATGTGTGCATGTGTTACGTGTTTTGGATTTGAGTTTTCGGGTTTTGCCTATCGTGCAATGCATGATTTCTTTGTTCCTTTTCGCGCTTAAATATGCGACTGCAAGATGAAAAAAAACCAAAAGATAGTGTTTGGGATCTATGCGCACCAAGAGACCTGACAGATCGAATTTCATTTTACAGATGCACACAAGGAATGAGAGGCGTAGCCGAGAAAAAAAATTAAAAGAAGAAAATTGCAATCCATAAAACTTAATTACATGTTTTTTGAACCGAGAAAATGATTTTGCGTAGGTTTTTTTTTCTCGCTGCGCTCACTTTTTCTCCCACCATCATCTCACACATTCTTTGCTTAGCGCGATGGGCTGCAAACTAGAGCGGCGCAATGCTATTTTATTGCACAAATAAAACGTGTTCATTTATTTATTTGACTTGGGATACTTGTACGCAAAATGTGTTTCCATTGCTTCATGTCATTCTCTGTGTGTGTGTGTGTACCCTCTCGCCCTGCTCACAGAGTTCAGACGTGTGGCGCACGTTAATGTGCTTTCGATTTTCCATTCTTTCGAACTAATAAACATTCATTTTAACTTCGATGACTTTTTTTCGATCCATCTCTCATTTCAGCAGATATCGTCCGTGGTATCGATTGCATAGAGAGACTACCTGAGTGCTAAAACGTTCAAAAAGCCAATCGTATTCATTGATATTTACCTGTCCCTTCTCTTTGAGTGCGTTGGCCAAATTACAGTATGCGTCTGGGAAATTCGGCTGTAACTCAATGGCTCGTCGATACGTATCGATGGCCAGATCAATAAGTCCTTGCTCATAGTAAACACAGGCCAAGTTTCCATGTACGACAGCATTATTCGGTGATAAATTCAAGGCTCGTAAATAAGCAGCTACGGCTCTGTTGGGAAAATGAAGAGAAAACAACACAAAATTAGGACACAATTTTATTGATAACGTTTATTTCAACAGTTCGATTCAAATGTTCGTCAGGGGAGAATAATCGTTTTTTTTTCTTTGTGGGAGGCGTGTATAGATTTAAGTGTAGATGTCTTCAGAAATTTTTCGGAAAATTTCATGAAACTAGGGAAAATAGATAGGTTTGTCATTGTGACGAAGATTTCATCGGTTGAAATTATCTCCAACCATGACATTCTACACTCTCGTTGTTAGACCGTGAATATATTTGCTTTTCTTGTCTATAAAATTTAAACGAATCCAAAAAAAAACGCCGTAAATTTATTTCAGAACCTTTTGGTTAACTTCAGTATAGATAGTTTTGACTGCTTATTCATTGGACTGTCAGGGGTTCTGCCCAACCACAAAATAGCAGACGAACCAAATAACTAGCTGTATACATAGCTATCTGTTTGTGTTATTCTTGCAAAGAAATCTCGCATCGGATGTGTATTCACCTCTATATGCTGTTTTTTATGGTTTCTATTTCCAGCATAAATCCGTGTAGTTGTGAGTCCGTTTGTTAAATTGTCAAACTGAGACTAGCTACTTTTAACCGAGCTTTGTACGTCATTTCATCTGATATTTCCATTTATTTTTCATAAACTTGCGCTCCTTTTCCATATATAACTTCCAACTTTATCGATGCCATTAGTTTCTTCTTTTCTTGCGGTAAGTGTGCAGCTGACAAGAAGAAAAACTTGTTCTTGTACGTTCCGCACAAGCCAGTTAAAAATGTATACACAGTTTGCATTGACTGCTTTAAATTGAACGAGAAAAAAGGCGAGAAGAATGAGTAAATTAACCGTCAACAATGAACACATTTTCTGGGATGTATAAATGAATCGATAGATTAAATGAAGTAATTTGCTTATATCAAGAGGTCTAGAGCATTTCCGATGTCGGCCACACATTGGCTTACGGTGCATCAAACTGGCAGTGCAATTGATTTAAATACGCACATACACGACAAAGGAACAAAGACGAAGACAAAAAAAATGGTTTGACTTTAAGTTTTCTTAAAAGTCAAAACAATGATACGTTCGCACCATGAACCGAGAATAACAATCGAATATAAAAATGTACGAGCATCATAAAAGTTGCTCCCTCTCTCACTCACTCTCGAATAAATAACTTTTTTAATTTATACCAAGAGAGGATGATATCATTATTCATGTTCATGTGCCAGTTTCAATGAGCACCGCAGAACATTTGCCGTTGCAGAGCGCTGATTCGGGCGAAAAAGTCTAGGAAAAAGTTGTGTGTGTGCACGCGCGCGGTGGAAAAGTGATCAACGTTGATGATGTTTGAATGAACGTTGTAATCTCAATGAAGCATGAACTGAATCCAAAATCACGTATCGCGCGCGCGAACAAGTGAACGCCACACCGAAGTGTATGTGTACGTATTCTTCCGATTGGATTTTGTGCATTCATTGATGCCATTTTCATAAGTATTTTATGATGCTTTGCAGCATTCCGTTGCGCAATTTTAATTATCATCAACTGCGACCAGAAGAGAGAGAGTGTGAGCTTTAACGAAAGATCCATTGAAAACTAATTCAATTTTCGATTTAATTACGGATTACAGAAATCACACTGGGCTGTGTGCGCACAAGTCAAGATGCAGCTGATGGCATTTCGAATTTATTGGATTTCAGGCACGCATAAAGTAAGTAGATATCCAGTAGATCGGTAAGCCATTAGTTAATAATTACTCAAAGCGCTCAAAGTGCTTGAACTTCAATTAATAACGAAACATTGTCCATCTTTAATCACTGCAAAACAATTTCCTGAGATAAGAATTTTATAAAATGAAAAGTTTTCATATTGCATTTCGTTGGAAATGGTAGAAATAAGTTGTGAATTTCCTATGAACACTTTGAAGTCTTCGTTGAAGACTTTGACGGTACTTCTCCTATAAGATGGCGTACGTATTTGGAAAAATGGAGGAAATGAAATTCACAACCAAGTAAAAATTTCGCCATTACTGATTTTCATGAAAAGTAGTGCACTACTTCTTACTTTATTACAGAAACCGAAATCGTTGAAATGACTGTATTCAGCTCTTGAAATTTTAATTAAATTTGTCAAGCATTGAAAAGTCATAGAAAAATGAATGAAAGCAATGGACAAAAAACCGATCAACTAAAAATAAATAAAAGCTTTCAACCAGCACATCAACGTAGAATTTTTATTTCAGTGCCGAATCAATAGATGTGTGTGTTCTCTTACAAAATTGTATGTAATTGGTAAATTATAATCGAATTTGAAAAAAAAATGGAATAGATATGGTCGATTATTTTCATATCAGTCCCGTGTTACCAATTCCATTTATAGCTCCAAGAAATTACCCTTTGAAATCACAAATGATGTGATACAGATATCATTCAATCCCATTTGGGAGGAAAACGTACAACTTTTGTTGCTCATGAATATCGGACTGTGTATGAATATACGTAGGAATTTGAATTTCAGATTTCTTTGTGTGGAATTCGAATATGGAAAGTTTTTTTTGCGAAAAAGCATTAAGGTGTGACCACCTTAAACCCCTATGCGTACGAATGAATGAAAAAAAAGGTGTATGGTTGTGAAAGGCCTAAGCCCACTAAATTTCATCCCACTCAATAGCCAGCCAACCTCAGCAACGGAGGAGGAGGCCAAATCAAAACGTAGCACGAGGAAGGAGGTCAGTTATGCAACGAAAGATGGTACCATCATCATCGTAATCGTCATTACGAATGACCTATTAATCAATCGGTTTTACATAATTTTAATAATTTTCCCATTTTCTCGACTATCGCACGCGCGTGTTTACATTTGAATATTGGCTGTCAATATTTATACAGTTGCGGTGAAGAACGATGTCGCTGAGCGTTAAATATTCGTATCAATTTATCCACACACACACACACACACACACACACACACACACACACACACACAC